GAGTATTTGATATCACAGCGAGAGTCATTCTTGAAACCGCAGACATTCACTTCAGAGAGAACAATAATATCATCTCGGAAGAAAAACAAAGTGATAATAATACGGACACTGACACATATTTCTTAATTCAGGAGGATGAACAACTGGACAATCATGTTCTATCAGATGTTGATATTGAAGAGCAAGCACCAGATACCATGATCAACAGACAGACAGAGTCAAGTGGATCAGACAGACCACAAAGAACTCGAACAATACCTAAAAGATTCGATGACTACGTTCTGGCTACAACGAATGAAACCATTCCGAAAGACTATGAAGAAGCCATCGCATGCGAAGACAAGAAACATTGGGAGAACGCAATGCTTGAGGAAATACAGAACATGCACTCGCATCAAGTATGGGAACTGGTACCTAGACCTGTAAACGCTAAAGTTGTCAAAAGTAAATGGGTGTTCAAAATATCTAAAGACCAAGAAAACAAAACTTACAAAGCTAGACTTGTTGCAATGGGATACAACCAAATCCCAGGAAGAGATTACAACGAAAGTTTCAGCCCTGTAATTAAAAATGCCACCCTCAGGACTATTTTGTCAATGGCAGCAACAAAAGATTCAGTCATTAAACTATTTGATGTGAAAGCAGCCTATCTAAATGGAAACATTGAAAACACAATATACATGGAACAACCTGCTGGATTTGTCCTAGACAGAAACAAAGTTTGCAAACTCAACAAAAGTATTTACGGTCTACCTCAATCCGGAAGATCTTGGTATGAGAAATTCAGTCAAGTACTTCATGACTGTAAACTGGAAAAACTTAAATCTGATCCTTGCCTATTTAAATGGAAGAATGAAGATAAATACTTCTATGTAGGGATATATGTTGATGACTTTATCACTGTCCCAGATTCTGCAGATACCTCAAACAGATTCATCAATAAATTGAGACATCACCTGGAAATAAAGGATGTAACATGTAAAGGCATGTTTTTGGGAATCAAGATCATACAAGACAAGGAGGGAATTTCGCTACAGCAAAGCCACTATGTACAACAAATATTGCAGAAATATGGAATGGAAAATTGTAAGGAAGTTCCAACACCAGGTTCCAAAAAAATCAATTTGGACAATCATATTGAAGATGACAATTATGATCAGCACACTTACCAAGAAGCCCTTGGAATGCTAATGTTTCTAGCTGTTAACACTAGACCCGACATCGCTTACATCACTAGCAAACTTTCACAGTACTCCAGACAACCAAAACAGATGCACTGGACAGCAATCAAAAGAGTGATGAGATACCTACGAGGAACAATTGACCTAGGAGTGAAATTTGAAAGAGGGAAGACTGGAATCCTGAAGTCCTACACCGATGCCAGCTGGTCGACCACTCATGATGGAAAATCCTACGGCGGATATGTATTGAAGCTCGGCGAAGCAACTATAGACTGGAAAAGTAGTAAACAACCACTCGTCGCCCTCTCCACAATGGAAGCGGAAATGATAGCTGCTTGTGAAAGCTGCTGTCAGATCAAGTGGATAATAAATCTGTTACGAGAGCTGGAAGAATGGAATTTCATGGAAAAACCAACTGCGATCTATACAGACAGTCAGTCATTGATCAACTGGATCTCCAGCCCTAAACAAAGCAGTCGTTGTAGACATATCAACAGAAAGTACCACTTCTTGAGAGACTGTTATGAATCCAGAGACACCTGCCTTCTGTACAAGCCATCCCAGGACTTGGAGGCGGATATCTTCACAAAGGACCTATCCCGAGACCAGATGAAGAAACACCTTGAGAACTTCAGCATCGTGGGATTAAAGACAAAGTAAGGAGGGAATTGTTACGCAAACTTTGACTTTAATCATCATCGATGCTACGTCACTACTATGACGTCACTACTTCCAACTTCTACCTTCAAACTTGCTGTCATTGTTTACCGCTAACTTGTCTTAACAATATATGTAATGGAACAAGTCGTTCCTTAAATAAATATATATTTGTTTATATCTAAAGGGATGTCCTCGTAACTACAACGTACGTGAGTACAAAAACAACCAGAAATCCTTAGAAAGAATAATCGTATTTTGCTAAGCCTATATCAGAATGAATTGTGAAAAATAATATATAATTGTATCTCAATAAAAATATTTTATACATTTCATTATATTGAGAAATCAATTATTTATATACGTATCATAAATAGTGTTAAATTTTATAAAAATTATAATATTAAGTCTTTATAGATTAATAAAGAGATGAATATTAAACATATATGTTATATAGAATCAAATATGTACAGAAGAGTTATCCATTGAATTGGAGAAATTGCTGTAAATTCCATCCATTAATTATTATCTAGTTAGCGAATTGATAGTCCAATATTTCAGCCAATGATTGCAGATAGGAGCGGGTGAGATTAGGACATCATTGTAGGCTCTGTCTTCAACTATCTTAATTATTGCCTTTGACATATATTCTAGTAATAGCATGTTCAACATAACGTACACACATATATTATACAATATAATGCGGCTTATGATTGTAGAACGGCCTTTGAAAATTATCCCGCATGTGTTTCTTTTGAATGAAAAATCGAAATTTATTTTAAGGAGAAATAAGGATTATTTCTAACCTTAGAGATGAAGTACGAAAGGAATAATTGTGAAGAGTAATGATGAACGGAAAAATAAAAGTGTACAGGAACACTAAGGGATTATATATATTTAAAATTGTATAACCAGGGATTGTATATATATATTTTTAAAATCTATGTCCTATTGGTTTCTAAAATATGTATTTATATTCGATTAGTTTCTGTTCTTAATCATTTAATTTATAAAATTGTTTGTAACAGAATTTATTGCTAGACTGTTTATATATTATACTAGACGAATAACCCGGGCAACGCCCGTGTTTTACCCGATTGAATGTTTTTATTCCAATACTATCTGTTACAATTATAAATTGGAGCCGTGGATGTCACTCTTGTGAAACGTCCCGCTCCAAACTTTACATGTACATTAGGTCAGCTGGTATTACCCCTCATTTTCACCGCTAGAGGCGCGAGCGAATTGACTTTTTGTAAATATACATAATTATAAAGATAGAAGCTTCCATAGAAGATAATGATCATAATGATAATAAAATAATAATAATATAATAATAATTATTATTATTATTATCATTAGATAATGATAATGATCATAATGATGATGCGCGCGCATCCGTGACAGAGATGAGGAATTGTTGAGGAAAGACGGTCGTGACTATATATGTTGATTAATAATAATAATAATATAATAATAATAATTATTATTATTAGCATTAGATAATGATATAATGATCATAATGATGATGCGCGCGCATCCGTGACATGAGGAAAGACGGTCGTGACTATATATGTTGATTAATGATAATAATAATATAATAATAATAATTATTATTATTATTATCATTAGATAATGATATAATGATCATAATGATGATGCGCGCGCATCCGTGACATGAGGAAAGACGGTCGTGACTATATATGTTGATAATAATAATAATAATATAACAATAATAATAATAATAATTATTATTATTATTATCATTAGATAATGATAATGATCATAATGATGATGCGCGCGCATCCGTGACAGAACCGGCCGCCCATGACGGTCGTGACTATATATGTTGATATATTTATTTTATATAAAACCAATAAAGCATCCAGGGCTAGGGTTCTTATATAAATTTATTTCTTTTGTCTTTGGGCTTATATGAACATGCCCTTTGACAGAAGCAACTAGTAGTTTAACTTATCTTTCTAGCTAACTATACTATATTATATATTCCTTATAAATATCATAATACACTGTAAATATAATATATATTCGATACGCATCTTGTCAATGGTAAAATAATTTTAAAAATTACAAGTAAAATAGTTACCAAGACAATGTTTATTAACATATAAAGGTTCATGTGATCTTTAATTAAAAATGCATATATTGGATCAAATAATCATTTATTTTACCAATATTTCAGTTGGCTGAACGCCAACCTTTATCAAGGTGTTATAACAGTTGTTGACACACTTTAAAATGTTATAACACCTTGATAAAGGGTGGCGTTCAGCCAACTGAAATATTGGTAAAATTAATGATATTTTGATCCAATATATGGCTTTTTAATTAAAGATTTATTTATGGATTACTCTATTTTCAAAAGCTTCATATTCTTGTTCAAATTTGTTTAATTGTTGCTCAAAAATCATTAGAATAAATTAAAAATTGTATTCGTTGATAATAGTGATCTTGAGATAAAATTTCAATAATATTACTTTTACTATATATAATAATTATAAAAAATAATATCAGAAAATTATTGTTTACATGGCAGTGGAAGCAAAGATTCTATTTTCGCCTCGAGGGCAGAATTTTCTTCACAATCAATAAAAAAAAAAGATTCAGTTAATCCAACTGTGAATATTCAGAAGTTTAATAGTAAATATAAAAAAATGTATCTAATTTTAAATTAAAAAAAAATCAAGTACTTATAAAAAAATATTAAAAAGAATCCACTGATCGTGCAACTAAAAGGGTTTTTCTTTAACACAACACACTATTTATTTCATTTTCATATTCATATGAAACACATAAACAATTCTGAGCAATGCTATATTTATCTCTAAATGTATTTAGTTATATATAAAATACTGATTGTTGAATAAAGGAATGATGGCAGTCATATGAAAAAAGTGTTTTTCTTCCCTCAAACCTTTTATTTATATTGAATTTTATATTTTAATAAGGAAAGATAAATATAACACAATATAATGCGGCTTGTGATTGTAAAACGACATTTGAAAATTATCCCGCATGAGTTTCCCTTCAACGAAAAAATCAAAATTTATTCCAAGGAGAATTAACGACTATTTCTAACCTTAGAGATGAGGTATGAATGGATTAATTGTGAAGAGTAATGATAAACGGAGAAATAAAAGTGTCCAGGGATGGGAATCGAACCTACAGTGTTCCGCTTACTGGGCAGATGCCATGTCCACTAGGCTACCCTGGACATATTTCTCCGTTCGTCCGTTTTTTTTTCAAATGTCGTTTCACAAAGATATATATATTTATAAATTTGATTCATATATATATATATAGATACATGTCATAATTTGTATATAATTAAATGCAACCCCGACCCACTATGTATGTATCATGTATGATTTTCAAAGATTTAATAAAAGAATAAGGTAACTGGAGGAAAGAAAGTAACAAAAGACGTAGAAGGTAGATCTAGAGGAGAGCATATTTATTAATAACGACGCAGTTAACCTTCTGACCCCAGGTCCCTGCGAGCTAAGTTTAAACCGACACTTCCTGGAAAAACAGGACGTATCTAATCACCAGAAGTTATAAATGTTAAAGCTAGCATTCAATACTTCCTGACAAAGCAGGACGTATTTTGATAGCCGCGGAAGTAAATAAAGTCAAACAAACACGAGACTTCCTGACCCAAGCCGGGCGTAACTAATACCAAAGGAAACCGCGGGCCCATCAGAAGACAGCACCTTAAGTAGGTCAACCAATAGGAAAAGAGCATGTGACATCTCTCGACCAATCAAAAGACAACACCTCAAGTAGGTCAACCAATAGGAAAGGATCATGTGACATCTCTCGACCAATCAGAGAGAAACTGAGGCTTGTTGTTAAATCGGAAAGCAAGAATTGGAGTTACGCTTGAGCTCTCATAGGAACAACACCTATAGGGTTCACTGGCTCTCGCCGAGTTCGGACAGTGCTCCTTCGCTTCCAACAAGGTAACATCTACTCTAGAGATCTCTCTCTCCGCTCATTTCATTATCGACATGTGATCAACTAATTAATAAGTCAAATCGCTCAACTCTTCTCAAGCTTTCTTCCCTCCAACACAGTTGCCTCTTATTTTCCAACTCAATCACGTGTCCTGATTATTCCTAACTGTATGCTGCAACTTCCACTCAAACGACTGCGCTTCAACCAAATCTCACCATTCGCATCCAACAACAAGAAACCCCGCAACGATATTGCCACATACATATATATATTATATAAAAATGTTATTTTATTTTAAGATTATAATTTATTAAACGAATTATTCTGTTTAAGTTGACCGCCAGATGTTACGCCTTTCCCTATATAAACCCATTGTTGTTGTTTCCCGTTGGCCGGCTCAAATCTTATTGTACATATGTAAATATGTAATCTTTTATTTTCTTACTTACGCCTCAAATCAGGTATTTTATCCTTAATTATGCTCATCAGACCAATTAAAGTAAATTGTAATTCTTTATTATATTTTATTATTTTTACCACGAATGCGATATCACAACATATATATATATATATATATATTAAATAAAAAATCAAAATAGGGTATTCGATATTTATATTTATTTGAATATGTATATTAGAAACAACATGTATATACATAAGGAAATATTTTATAATCTGAAATAATAAGACAGAGAAAGACTAATGCATTATAATAAAGTTTAAATTATATAGAATTTTACATATTTTCCCAAGTTTGTCGCCAATAATTCCAAGATGGTTCCATTTTTTCTTCCATTTCTATCGGGCCAATTTAGCCGTCATTCAAGATTTTTTTTCCCTTAAAGATTGTCGAATTCATTTTTTATTTCTTCCATTTCACTTTGTCCCATAGAAAAAAAATCATCCATTTGAAAATACTCATTCTCATCATTTAGAGGTGAAATTTGAAAATAAATTTTCTATGCAATCATTTAATAATCTAAATAAATATATATTATAGATAAATTATTTTGTTAAATTAGAAATATTCTCTAAAATATTTGAATTTTCTAGGTATAATTTCTTTATTAGGTGAGTTATCAAAAAAATTTTAATATATAGAAAATAGATTTAGCGATATTATGAATCTTTGAGAATAGAAAAATAAATTTATTGAGCATAAATGTTAATTAATTAATATACATATGAAAAGAAAACATGCTATTTGTGAATGATTGCTTAATATATTTAAAAATGATAATTAATATCTCTCTCTATAAAAGGATAATATTCTGTATTTATTATAACATATAAATGATCAATATATCATTTATACGTAGATATAAGTATATACGTAAGATATAGCGGGTAATTCTGTAATGAAATATAACCAGAAATTTAGCATAAAATATTTAAAGCCTTTCATCTTAAAAATTTGTCTCATCTCATATAAATCATAGAGTAAGACCTTTATAGATACAATAAACGCAAAGAGAAAAAGGCAATCAATGGTAAGAAAATTAATATATAGGCAAGAATCTGTTTAGACATTACAGTCAAAATACTTTTTAATTAATTTATATGTTTTAATAATATATTTCGATAAAACAATAAATACTAAAGAAAATCATATTGTAATTAGAGATAGAAAACCATGGCCCTTCTTCAGTTTGTTGTCCAGTTATGTAGCTCATGTTTATTTTAACGTTTTTTCGAATAAAATGATAAATAATGAAAAAAAAAAGATCTATATTAACGATAAAAAATCATGGCATTTCTTCAGCATGTCATAAAGTTTTTATTTTATGTTTATTTTAATAAGATTAATTCAATAGAACAATAAATACTAAAGAAAATTAAATCTATAATATAGATAAAAAACATTGAAATTCTTTGAGCATGTCATCCTGTTAAGTAGCTCATGTTTTTTAACGATAGTTTATAATAAAACAATGAATGTTAAAAAATAACTATAGCGATTTTAAAGGTATATAACAATAGCATTTATTCAGCGTATCCTCCATTTAAGTAACCCATGTTTATTTTATTTTGTTAATAAGAAATAACTCAGGAAGAATCATTTCGAAAGGAAAAACTACCATTTTTCAACTTGCATTAACATATATATAGAAAGAATAGAAAAAAAACAGAAATATTCTAAAAATAACCACAAAGATAATATTTCAATTAAAAAGGCATATATTGGATCAAAAAAATCATTTATTTTACCAATATATCAGTTGGCTGAACGCCAACCTTTATCAAGGTGTTACTTGTTAACACACTTTAAAATGTTATAACACCTTGATAACTGAAATATTGATAAAATAAATGATATTTTGATCCAATATATGTCTTTTTAATTAAAGATGTATTAATGGATTGCTCTATTTTCAAAAAGAGATAAATTTATTTAATTTAAAAAACACACACGGGCTAGCCTTTCTACAACGGATCTATCAGATAAAATTATACATTGAAATGTCATGTAGCTTATAAATATCACCAAGAATTATATTCACATATTTTGTAAAATTACCATGGTGTAATTAGAATTGCATCATTTTCAAAATATGGTTCAATAAACTATATTTAAGATTAATTATTAACTTGTATATTATTTATAAAAATTATCTTTGTGTAACCATTCTGGACTATAAAGGTAGATATTAGAAAGTTAAATAGAGTTGAATTTCCCTAGCAACTTTAAATATATTCCTATTGTGATAATGTTTCTATATTTCCATTAATGGTATGGTTTTCTATAGATATGAATTATTCCAATATTAATATTTTATAGTTGTTGAGTGATTACTATAGCTGTATGTGGCCTCTACTGAATTCAATTTATCGCTTGAATCAAAGATATGTTTAAAGGGAGTTATTATTAAATAGTAGAGAGAGAAATGTGTATATAATATCAGGTCTTGTGAAAGAGCTACTCTGAAGTCCTTCTCATAAACGTACTTTATATAAAATAGCTATATATTGCGAATATCATAAAGTACCATTTACAATTATATTTACAATTATCATTTAATACATTATAAAGGACTGCGGCGTATGATTATAAAGTAATACTTAAAGCCTCCCCGCATAAGTTTCTTTTTTGTGAAAAAATCAATAGTACATATTTCTCTTTGAAATTAATATTGATTTTTCACAAAAAAGAAACTTATGCGGGGAGGCTTTAAGTATTACTTTATAATTATCATTTAGTTAATAAAAGATAATTCGCTGAGGGAAAAGTTTCTTTTATATATATCGACAATACAAGCTTTCGGGCTCAACAGTCCTTTGACATGTATAACTACCTCAGTAGCGTATTTATACCTGTCAAAGGACTGTTGAGCCCGAAAGTTTGTATTGCCGTTATATATAAAAGAAACTTTTCCCTCAGCGAATTGTCTTTTATTGAAAATTATTAAATTAAATTTTATTGCCCTCTATCGTTAAAATTTTACACAAATAAATTTACTGGCAATGCGTTTCTTTTTTAAATATCTACAGACCTTACTACAAATAAGTAAGGTCTGTAGAGATTTAAAAAAGAAACGCATTGCCAGTAAATTTATTTGTGTAAAATTTTATTAATGATTATCCCGAAGGGATTATATTAACAACAAATTGTCATTTAGAGTTATAATTTATAATTCTATGGCAATATAATTCTCAAAATATATGCATCAATAGACAAAACTTAAGGAAGTTGTACCTTTTAGCATAAATATCGAGATTCAGACAATGATTCTGAAAGATATTTGATACACACTGACCTCTATTGAGTACACACCAAATAATCAAGTTTTGACAAAATTGCTTCTGTATTTTCAATAAAACCAGCGACATCAAAGACTATCTACTTATGTTTTGTCCATGAGTGATCATCATATATGCTATTATATTCTTTACGAAACATATCGACGGAAATTAATAATTTTATCAACAGAAAATTTGGTAAAGGAAATATAATAATAAAAGTTTAATGTAAAAAGGTATAGGAATTATATACAGGGCGGCTTTGATTTCATATAGACCACTACGAGTTCATTAAATATTCTGAATTTATCAAAGAGAAATACCGGAATAATGGTTGGGAGACCTATAGCTAAAATATAGAATAATATACTAAAATACTCAAATAAAATTGCAGATTAGAGGTCGTTAAAAACTTCTACCATTTTATGTAAACACATATGGAAAAATAGTTCAATAAATTTGGTATATTATATCATTATTATATATGCAGGTTTGAAAAATAACTATAATTATTATAAA